GAAGGAAGGAAGGAAGGAAGGAAGGAAGGAAGGAAGATTATAATGAGGGAGGGAGGGTCTCAGGGAAGTCCTGCCTTACCACTTGGCCACCACAGGTGCCCCCGACACGAATGACATCAAGTTGGCCACACTCACCCTTGCCACGCCCACCCAGCCCCTCCAAGGTCAAACCCTGGCCACGCCCACCCAGCCCCTCCAAGGTCAAACCCTGGCCACGCCCACCCAGCCCCTCCAAGGTCATTGATGTGGCCCTCAATGAAATCGAGTTTGACACTCCAGGATAAGGGAATAAACATGCCACTATATATTAACAGCCTCCTTTCTCTGGCTGATGCTTGCTAGAAAGGATCAGGTAACAAAACAATAAAAATCATTCTTCAGCCTCTCACCTTCTCCTTTGCCATATTTGGAGCCAGGGTACCAGGAGACAGCTTCCACATAGCCCAATTGCCTGCAGAACACATTGGCCGAGTGGATGGAGAAATCGTCATCACAAATGGTGCCCCATTGGTTGTTGTAGTAGACTTCTGCCCGCCCTTCGTTGTGCTTCCTCTTGTCTCCTGCCAACCGGACCTGAATAGAATGCTCAGTGCTGGGTTGGGGTTGGGAATCTTGTTGATTCTGGGCAAGGATCAGGTGGTCCAGGCACACGAAGAAGAAGTAGTAGAAGAAGAAAAGGATCCAATGGCAGTTTGGGAACTTTGCCATTGAGGCTGTGAAGTTCTCTTTGGAGACAAGTCTTTAAGTTCAATCAAAGATCCGAAGGCCGGCTGGCCGGTTTGCTGGGAAGAAAGAAATGGAGGAGATACTTGAGAAAAGAGTAGATGCTCAGGAGTACACAGGGGTGGGCTTCAAAAAATTTAGCAACCAGTTCTCTGCTCGATTGCTGGGTGAGCGTGGCCATGGGGGGCGTGGCCTAGTCGGCCCCCTACACGATGATGGTGGGGCCGTTTTCACACTCCCCTGACTCCAGAGGCTTTTCTCGAGCCTCCAGTAGGGCGAAAACAGCCTCCCCCGGGCTCCGGAGGTCCTCTGGAGGCCAGGAATGGTTCCAGAACTGGTATTCAGCAGGTTCTGACCAGTTCTGGAGAATCGGTAGTGGAAATTTCAAGTCGTTCAGAGAACCGGCAAATCCCACCTCTGACTGGCTCCACCCCCATCTATTCTCTGGCTCCCACTGAGTCCCAGCTGATTGGCTGGGTCTCCTTTTGTTGCCCTGCCCAGGAGAACAGAGCTGGAAAGCAGGTTAGTGGGGTGGAGTGGGAATGGGATTTTGCAGTAACCTTCCCCTGCCACGCCCACCAAGCCATGCCCACAGAACCAGTAGTAAAAATATTTGAATGCCACCACTGCTTTCTGAGTTTATAAAATTAGTCTCCTGGCAGTTTTCTGAGTTTTCAACTTTTCCAAACCCAAGTAGAGAATGATCTGTGTCTGAGATGTGAAGGCTGAGATTCTGGAGTTGGGAACTTGTTGGTTCCTAGTTTTTACAGATAGTCCTTGACTTAAAACCACAACAGCCCAATATGTCTGTCAAGCAAGAACCATTAACTGGATTTTGCTCCATTTTACAACCCTCTTTTTTTGCCATAACACTTAAGTGAATCATGGTTCCAGAACTGGGAGGCAGAGGTGGTATTCAGTAGTGGAAATTTTGAGTAGTTCAGAAAACCAGCAAATCCCACCTCTGACTGGAGATTTTACGGTATCCTTCCCCTGCCATGCCCACCAAGCCACACCCACAGAACCGGTAGTAAAATAATTTGAATCCCACCACTGCCAGGGGGCCCATTTTTCACCCTCCCCGAGTCTCCACACGGCCCGGTACTTACCCGGCATCCAAAATGGGCCATGTGGGGACTGGTGGGAGGAGAGGGGTCGGCGGGGTGAGGCCAGCCAAGGGTGGGATTTGTGGGTACACCGAACCGCACAGAATCTTAGCTAGAGGATCACCCGAACCAATGCAAAGGCGCAACAGACCACCCCTGGGGGCGGGGGGGCATAGAAACATTCACTTTGGAGATCCAATTCAAAGCGGATTTGATAGAAACCCAAATGGAGTCCAAACCAAATGGCAGATGAGGCGGATTTGATTGCCCAGATCCAATTGGAGGCTTCCAAACTGATTTGGAGAAGTGTAGGAACATGATTCCTTTTCAATCATAGAATTTAATCCTTAAATGCTGGAAGCTACCCAGAGTCACCCAGGTGTGGGTCAGGCAGCTATATAGCAATAGCAATAGCACTTAGACTTATATATCGGTTTATAGGGCTTTACAGCCCTCTCAAAGCGGTGTACAGAGTCAACCTCTTATCCCCACAATCTGGGTCCTCATTTTACCCATCTCGGAAGGACGGAAGGCTGAGTCAAGCTTGAGCCTGGTGGGATTCGAACTGCCAAACTGAAGTAGAAGTAGTTTGCAGTACTGCATTCTAACCACTGTGCCACCGAGGCTCTTAATCCTAACTCCTGAGATAATATAATAAAGGAACAAAGGAACAAATAAATAATTGCCTTCAAATCTGATGGATTTGCTAAATAGAATCAGGAATCCGAATAGGGTTGGGGTGGAAACCTCAACTATCTTCGACTTACAATAGTTAGTGATGGTTTGAAGTTACAACAGCACTGGAAAAAATGACTGATGACTATTTTTCACACTTACGGCCATAGTAGTAACCCCATGCTCACGTGATCAAAATTCAGACGCTTGGCAACTGACTCGTATTTATGACGGTTTGCAGTGTCCCAGAGTCACACCTTTGCGACCTTCTGACAAGCAAAGTCAATGGGGAAGCTAGATTTGATTAACAGTTGGGGTACCAACTTAAGAATGGCAGTGATTCACTTAACAATTGTGGCATGAAAGGTCATAAAAGGGGGCAAAACTCACTTAGCAACTGTCTCACTCAGCAACAGAACTTTTGGGCTCAGTTGTGGTGGTAAGCCGAGGAGGACTCATATCAGGAGGACTTATTTGCCATTACCAACTTTTGTAACAAGTAATGCAGTGGTGGGATTCAAATATTTTTACCACCGGTTGGGTGGGCGTGGCTTGGTGGGCGTGCATTTGCGCAGGCGCAGAGGTGTTCTAACTCGCCTCCTGCAAGCCTGCATGATCCCGGTCGCTTCAGCAGCTGCTGCACGGCACTCTTCTGTGCCGCGCAAAACAGCTGCGCTTCCAATTCAGAGGATAGAGGTGAGTCTGGGAGCTCAGGCGGGCGGGCGGGCCCAACAGCAGAGCAGTGGAGAGAACCAGTTCGGTCTCCGCTGCTCATACCGGCTCGGCAGAACCAGGCCGAACCAGTAGAATACCACCCTTGAAGTAATGACAAATCAACAGGTACGGCCCAGAAACTGCGGGTATTATACAGCATTGGTTTCATGGCTCAAGAAACACCCTGAACTGCTAGATTTCTCTTACAAATAGCAGTAGCACTTATATACCGCTTCATGGTGCTTTACAGCCCTCTCTAAGCAGTTTACAGAGTCAACCTCTTGTCCCCAGCAATCAGGGTCCTCATTTGACCCACCTCAGAAGGATGAAAGGCTGAGTCAACCTTGAGCCAGTCAGGATCAAACTTCCTGGCTGTGGGCAGAGTTAGCCTACAATACTGCATTATAACCACTGTGCCACTATTCTTCCTTCCTTCCTTCCTTCCTTCCTTCCTTCCTTCCTTCCTTCCTTCCTTCCTTCCTTCCTTCCGGAATCGCACGTAGACTTATATACCCCTTCACAGTGCTTTTACAGCCCTCTCTAAGCAATTTACAGAGTCAGCATATCGTCCCCAACAATCTGGGTCTTCATTTTACCCCCCTCCCCCTCAGAAGGATCAAACCCCTGACCGTGGGCAGAGTTTGCCTGCAATACTGCATTCTAATCACTGGGAAGGGAGGGAGGAAGGGAGGGAAGGCTGATAGCAATAGCACTTAGACTTATATACCACTTCACAGTGCTTTATAGCCCTCTCTAAGCAGTTTAAAGAGTCAGCATATGGCCCCAACAATCTGGGTCCTTGTTTTACTGGCCACGGAAGGACGGAAGGCTGAGTCAACCATGAGCCGATCAGGATTGAACTGCTGGCATTGAGAAGTGAACTAGCCTGCAATACTGCATTCCAACCACTGCGCCAACACAGCTCAAATGCAATTCCTCTTAGTAAGAAATACTTCCTTTTCATCCGCTGAATGAAAGGAAGAATGATTTCTTCCACCTCATCCAAGAAAGAAACACAAAACATAACCTCTGCGATGTTTACTTTTATGCTAAATCTGGCATGAGCTTCGGCTGTATCAGATGTGGCAGGTTGGTAAGAGAATTATTTTGAGAAATTGGAAGAGCATTCCTATTCTGGACATGAAGGATTGCCTTCTGGAGATGGGTCACTTATCCATTCCTGCTAATCCAAAAATGATGCAACGTGTTTCCTTTGGGCCCATTCAACATACAATAAGCCAAAAGCTGTTTTTGCACCTAGCTGGGAGGTGAGATAGCTTTGAGAAGGGCAAACTGGATGTGCCCTTTTTAACCCCTGTTCTCTCTGCAAACTTCTTTAACCGGTGGCTGGAACTCTTTGTTCATTCTTGTCTGTTTTCCTCTGAGTCGTGCTTTCTATAGAAGAGGGGTCTCCAACCTTGGCACCTTTCAGCCTGGAGGACTTCAACTCCCAGAATTCCCCAGCCAGCAAAGCAATTCTGGGAGCTGAAGTCCTCCAGGCTTAAAGTTGCTAAGGTTGGAGACCCCTGCTCTAAATTGTTCATGGACATCCTGGGTGGGATATCAAAAGTGGAAGACATTTGTTCAGTTTCCTAGTCAGGGTTCCAAGCATTTGTTTGAGATTCCTCATTTGATTAATTTTTGCTGGCTGGGGAATTCTGGGAGTTGAAGTCCTCCAGGCTGAAAGTTGCCAAGGTTGGAGACCCCTCTTCTATAGAAGAAAAGCGAAATGCCAGATCTTGTGCTGAGAGAGTAACACAGGCTCTGTTTGTGGTAAAGATTTCCTCTTTCCCAAATATCGCCCGCTTCGCTATTATGTCACAATGCATATTTCCATTACTGCATGTCTGGTTTTCTAACCATACTTAATGCAAACAAAAGACCCAGCCGAATCTGCTCTTCTCTTCCACTTGCACAGAAAGCAATTTAGCAGACCAGATCGTTGTTGTCGACCCTCTATAGCTCAGCCAACAAGTTGATGGATGTTTGAGACTGGCTGTCGAACCGCATTGCTCCATTCCCAATTCGGCGGGGAAGCATTTAAGGCGAGAGAATCAACAATGCGAGCTAAATGCCAATCCCCACAGGGTTGCTCCTTGTTGTCAGTCCTCCATGCAAGTTGCACATGCAGCAGTCTGGAAAGCCACATGTGTGGAACGGCTTCCATCTGAAGGGAAGCCAAAAGGCAGCGCAGGAAGCCCACCACTTCTAATTTCCTAGAGCAGCGTAATTTTTCCTGGCCTTGTCAGCATGCAAAACATAGCAACGGATGTGTTCTGCTAAAAAAAACACACACACACACTTCCAGGAAAGAGACGCATCCCAAACTGCACATCGGTTGTGACGTGGACGGGGGTGGGGAAACAGGGTCACACAGGGAAAGGAAGGAAGACTAAATATTTTGGCTAAGCACGACTTCGTTTAGATTTTATAGTCATGATAAATTTCTTTGAAATTAATCAACAACCATAAGATCGAGAATGGCCAACCTTAAACAATAGCCTTCTCTTGTTGTGTTTCCACAACTACAAATGAAACAACAACACTACAAATGAAACAACAAC